GTTGAAGTTAGTGTCCTGAATAGTTTACCAGAATCAGTCTGGATATCAGTCAACACCCTGAATCATAGTCTACTACTTGGATGTATATAAAGAGCTCCTGATAGTTCGAATAGTGGGAATGATCTTATTATCAATGCATTCATACATGCATCATCTCTAAACTTTAATGCTAAGGTTATCACTGTGGTTTTCAATTATCCTGGGATCAACTGGAGTACCTGTTGTTGTCAGACATGTAATGATGAGTTCTCGGCAACCATTAACATGCACTGCTGGTCACAATGAGTTCGTGCCCCAACTAGAGGCGATAACATATTCTATCTAATATTTAGTAAATATGTTATCCCACTATCTGTAAAAGTATATGATGAATTTGAAAGCAGTGACCATAAGATAGTAGTTTGCGCTCTCCCTATCTATCTCTCTTATAACCCACCCATTCAAAAAACCTGCCAGTATAGAGACTGTAAGTATGCTGACTTGGACCTCCTGCATTCATTGATTAAACTTTCAGACTGGGATAACTTTTTTTCGTGTAATAGTCTCATGGATGCTATCGACGAATTCTATCTGATCATTAACTCTTGTTTAGATTCCAGTGTAACTCTTAAAACGTACAGGTTCAGTAAACCTTACGAAATATATATATACCAGCTAAATATCGTAATAAACTAAGACGCCTACAGAATCGTTATTTTAAGTCAAACGATTTCACAGCAGTTGCACAAATAACAATAATTTTTAATCAAATTAAAGAGAAACATAGGTTAAAAGTCATTAATGAGGAGGTATTAGCACTTAATACAAACTCAAAGGTACAAAACTTAACTCTCCTTTTTAACAAACGCGCTAAAGCAACTCAAAATGTTGATATACCGTGCATCCAACATAATAGCACTTTTATATACGACTCTAAAACCATGACCGATCTTTTCAGTAGTATATTCGCGAATGGTGTAGAAAACATAATTGGCTATGCTTCAAGAGTTATGTGCATGACTAACAACTCAATAAAATCTATCTCATTCACATGCATGAAAATTAATAAGGCTATAAATACCCTTAAGCTTTCGAAAGGTCATGGAGTAGACGGGATTTCATCATTTCTCTACAAATATGGTGGTCCAGATATTCCACTTCTTCTTTTCAAGCTGTTTACTCTCTCTATGGAAACCGGTTCTTACCCTTACTGTTGGAAAACCGCGTACATCATACGATGTTACAAATCTGGAGATAAAACTGACATGAATAATTACCGGCCAATAAATATTACTCCAGTTATGCCCTCACATGGAATCCTCAAGGCCAAAGGAAAATAGGAAGACCAAAGAACACATTACGTTGGGAAATGGAGATATACACATGAGAAAAATGAACAAGAATTGGATGGAATTAGAAACGAAGGGACAGGACAGAGTGGGTTGGAGAATGCTCGTCGGCTGCCTATGCTCCATTAGGAGTAACAGGCGAAAGTTAATAAGTAAGATATATTATTGTGTAGTAGTAAGTAGTTCATGTTATCAACGGACATTTTTGAACTCAAAATGTTGATATACCGTCTGGTGTTTCACAAGAAAATTTACAAATCGGTTACATTTATTCAACTTTTCTACTATTTGTATTTTGCCCCTTTCATATCTCTTCTTATTTACAACTGTTAGTTTGCAACTACATTAGGTAACGTTATTTGCTTCTCGAATGATTTGTGCTTGCTTGTCAACTCAACCTCGATGTAGTTCATGTATATCGCTAGAATATCACATTTGAAGTGTGATTTTGCTCAGAATTTCTAACAAGTTAACAAGTATTTATGATTTTCATGCAACAAATTGCTAGGGTTGATTACGTTTTTAAACTGTCAATTCAGTTCTTCCCATTTCCATTATTGTTCCTTAATTATGTTATTGTGTAGTAGTTAGTAGTTCATGTTATCAACGGACATTTTTGAACGTGTTTCTCATAGAATCGGTTTATTGGTTCGTGTGATATACCTAAATATTTACAGGTGCGCTAGGCATTTCATCCATTTTATTGCTGTAATTTTGTTTCTCCACAATTCTCAGGTAATTTGATTTATTTCACGTGTAGCTCGATGTAATTTAATTTATTTGCAACAACTTTCAAATTTAGCGTTGACTAGCTCTCAGTTCATTTTTCGATGAATGACGTTATTCGAGTTTGTCGAAAGTCATTGATTCTACCTATTTGATCATTAATTATGTATATTGTTTCGTGTTTGGGTGTTCGGAGGACTCAATTTAACGTTGATTGTGGTATGAGCGGCTACTCATACCTTGAAGTGCTCACGATTTGACGTTTATAATTACTACTGTTCATGTCGTCTTGCCATTATTAGTAACGTATTTAACAGATAAATGTCTTGTTTTGATTTTGGCATTTCACACGTGACTCATTTGTTTGGTGAGAAATCAGCAGTTACACTGCCTTGAATGCGGATGTCATTAGGAATATCAACACCAACAAACAGACACATTCGTTCAACGAACTGTATCAAGAATGAAATGTATGGTCATTATAAGTCGCCAAACAAAGTTGATTTAAAAAGTGTTTCAATAACCTGATTCAGTGTTCGTTTTTTAAAATAAACTGCTTTCGTTTATTTTTTGTTAGTTCTACACATTGCTTTTTTTAAATGTTTTGATGTACATTCAGCTTGATGATAAATGATATTGAGTTTTGCAATGGATGTACTGCTTCTATTGATACTGGGACATCAACGATTATTGGTGGAAGAGAGCAAGTGACGAGAATCAACACAATGCTTGGTATTTCCTTTCAATTCGGTAGAAGTTTCCTTGATTGTAAACGAATCGACATGCTGCCTCCGATCGAGTTTATCTTTCGTAAAAAGAAGTACATATTGGAACCACATGATTATGTTATTAAGGTGAATGACTTCTTTAGATCAGTTTAGTTATATATTGTGTATTCAGTGTGTTCACTTTCTCTATTTTCAAGTCAGTTCGACGGAAATAAAACTTGCAAAATACAGAGTAATATGATGACTTTAGTTAAACTTATTGTGTGATTCCAGTTATTTAGACGGTGCAACAAATGAATGAGAACTACAAAAATTCCCTTTAGAATGCACACATGTTGGAGGTTTCAACAATAATATCATTGTTAACAACGTGTATAATATTTTCTGTACGAACAAACATTTCTTGTACAATGTAAAATTTACTAGTCGAACCGCTTCTCCTAAATTCAAGCTGAATCCATGTGTAAAGATCCAACTTTTCTGATAGTGAACGATCACCAGATATTTGAAATTTACTAACTGTTAAGGACAGTTAATTATCTGATTAAAGTGAAGCTGGTAAAGTTAGCTTTCAGTGTATAATGTGTTAATAGAAGTTGTAATTGACAAGGTAGTAATAGAGAGTTTACTACTTAATAACAGTTTCCTTTCTTTGCAATGGGAAATGCAAAACTGTTTACTATTCAACTAGCATCATTACAAAATCGAAACCGAACTGAGCAAAATCTGTAAGTAATTAGAATTCTTGTTTAGGGTCATGGTATTTTATAGAATATTTTTTTTCACATGGTCATCTACAGTTTACTTCAAGGTTCTTGCTTTCAAATCAAATGACTAACTATTACAAAGGATTAATTAGCACGTGCAACACGCAAAATAAGACTTTATACTCAACAAAACATCCGGCACCTTGCCCATGTAAGTTTAACTCAATCATGGTTGATATTTATAGTAAAGTGTCTATTACCTCAAAGGAAAATTTATCATTATTATATAGTAATGTTAATTTAACATCAATACTTAAATCACCTACTAGTATTGCTGGCTATTCACCTTCAATGATCGGTCTAATTGAAGATGCCGGTGATAGTGGTCAATCTCAAATGGGTGGAATGCAGTTTGACTGATGTATGTTCAAACGATTGAATGCAAGCTAACCAAAAATGTAATTTTAGAGCTAGAAGGCATTTTTCAGCAAATTTATAAGAATTTTCTATTGAACAACTGTTATTTTCATGAAATGATAAGGTGCACAATGGAAATGATTACTCTGAAATTCAAGAAGTAAGTAAAACAAACCATTCCTACAAGATAAACAAGAATCAGATTACCACAAATAAACAACTTGATGTGCAATATAATGATCAGGTGGCTTGTAGATGTTTATGTCAATAATGGCATGATGAAATAAAACCAGAGTAACACGAACACCATTATCTAGCAGACTATGAATGGGAATTCAATGAGTCTACTCATAATTCTCACGTCTCGACCGCATTTACATAGTGAAATTGTGAAAGTCTCTCTCTACTAGATGTAAAGACGTGCTTCACGATTTGGAGTTCTCAACAGGTAATTTTTGTCTTCGACAAGAAATCGAGGGAATGAGTGGAAGCATAAAAAATATTACCATCGAAACAACTCGTTAATTTTAGAAATGTACGTGTTACAGTCAGATTGTTAGTCTCAAACTTTCTTTCTTTCAAGTAATGTGAGTTGATCTCATATTAAGTGGATGCCACTCGTTAATATGTGCATGAAATAGACTAAGTGGATGTTTCCCACAGACGTAACTATGACACAGTGATTGTGTAGTAGAAGGAGTGATAATTGAATTGATAATATCTGTTTAGAGATATGAGTAGGATTGAATATATTTTACTCGCTTCCCACCAACTGAAATTCTGTCAAGTAATGGTGATGTTTGTAGACATTAAAATCAGTTATGGAAATAAGAATAAATTCCGATCAACTATGAGTCGTAAACAGAGGAATAACGTTATATCTAGCGTTAGATAACAAAAACAAATCGATTGCTCTGACACCATGTCACACTATCTGATGTTCGTGCTTCAATTATCCTTTTGTTAAGATTTAATATTATGGTGAGATATCAGTGGGAACTCCACCGCAAAAGCTACGAGTAATGTTTGATACAGGATCCACTGACACATGGTTCGCTTCAAGGAAGTGTTGTTTTCTTGATATATTTTGTTGGATGTTTTCGTTTAACGATAGCTCGAAATCATCCACTTACAGACCAAACGGTTCCATTTTTAATGTCCATTATTTAGACAGTGATTACTCTGGATTTTGGAGTGTGGACACTATACGAGTAAGAATTGCGAATGTTTCGAAATAAGATACCGTTACAGATAAACTCGTTGGAGATTCGGAATCAAGCGTTTGCTGAAGTGAGGAGTATATTTAATCTCGATTACTTATCTGCTAAATATGATGAATAATTGGCATGTCGACTAGACGGTTGTCGAAATATGGGAATATCCCAGTATTCCCAAATATACTTCAGACTTTCCCGAATATGGACCCGATATTTTCATTTTATTTGAGTCAGTGAGTTGTGCAATAAGTCGAGTTAGATTCGTATATATTAAATTCAGATTTTGTTTAATTTAATCATTCGGTTTTGAATATCACTCAAGTGAGCAAAGCTTAATTATAATCTATTTCATTTGGTATTTGTTTGACAATGGTTGATCTCAGTGACTATGCATTTGCAACCAGTCAAGATGTTTGAAATACAAGTAGTTCAAGATTACTAAGGCAACCAAGTTGTTCTGAAGATATATTTCGTGAAAGTTATCTGAGATGATGGATGTTGTTTAGAAGCAATCAAATGGAAACATTGAGACACCACAGCCTTACTCTGTTCGAATTTTATCTGTTTTAATTGTTGTCATGAAAACATACAAATTTGTCTTGTGTGTATTGCTAGTTATTTGATGGTGAAGTTTCAATTATTCTGATTAACATGTTGACTGTAGGTTTAAATTTCCACATCAGGTTACGATTTACTAAAAGAAGTGTGACTAATGTCAGTGATAACATCAAATTATAATGTCTCGGCTCACTTAACAATGATTTTAATGCGAAAGTGGATTGATGTATTTAGACGAGCGATTGACAAAATATACCTTCCCATGGACGATGGAAGTATTGTATTTGTCGACTGTATATTTAATTGTGACTAGAATTCTTTCATTTGATTTTATCTCGTCAATATGTATTCACGTCCTCATATTTTATGCATTCGTATGAGTACATTTTATGTTGTAAATGGTTTTGTTCCAGTTTTATTTGAAATTTATCTTTGAAAAAAATTATTCAGTCTTCATTGATCTTCTCATAAATAATGCACTAGTGCATTCCGATGTTTACAACACTAATTTCTGAGTGGATGCCACTCGTTAATATGTGCATGAAATAGACTAAGTGGATGTTTCCCACAGACGTAACTATGATACAGTGATTGTGTAGTAGCTTCAAGGAAGTGTTGTTTTCTTGATATATTTTGTTGGATGTTTTCGTTTAACGATAGCTCGAAATCGTTGACTTATGTAGCAGATGGTTGAAATTTTCATGTCAGTCATCTGGACAGTGATTTCACTGTATTATGCAGTGTGGACACCATAAATTTCTTCAGGGATCTGCGATCTAGCAAAAGCAATTCATCGATAGCATCTTTTCTATTACACGGTCGTTTGACTCCAATATGCCATACTTAAATCGTTTGGATGAACGTATGATTGAATTATTCTGTTGATATGTTTGTAAATAATGAAGATATTGAGAATGCCAGAATATATTTGAAAATATTTGAAGAAATCTAAATTAATATTTGAAGTTGTTATTTGTTTTATCTGTTGTCAAAGTCGTTCGAATGTGTGCACAACTATCTAGTCAATCTAGTCTATTATGTCCATATCGTAGGAATTATGAATCTCAATGGATGACTGAGTGTACGGATATGGGAAGGATGAAAGACAAGAGATGGGTGTGGACTTATGCTTATCGGGTTGTAGCAATTTGGCTAAGTGAAAATTTTTCCCAATTTACTCAGTCTATGGACAAACGAATGGATGACTGAGTGTACGGATATAGGAAGGATGAGAGACAAGAGATGAGTGTGGTTCATGATCTCAATCAAGAACAACTCCTATACTAGTAATGAACATGTGCTCACTAGTAACTAGCTTCGTGAGGGAATTCTCGGAGTTCTAGTGAGAAGGCGTGACCATTGGAACTAATCCATGTTGGGCAGGGACAGCTATCTACCTCAGTACAACGGGAGTTGGATGCGCGATTTCGTGGATTGGTTGATGTTAGACAATATCACTATTGGATGCCGGCTCAGTGCTCCAGTTGGTTAAGCGTTCGAATCCCGTGGGAGCGATCGTGAATACGCGCTCCTGAGGATTCCCACAATGGGATAAAACGGCCGTTCAGTGCTTCCAGGTTTCCAAAGGTGGTGGTCTAACATGATTCGGTGCACGATCTCAATCAAAACTTAATAATCTCCACAAACCCTATACTAATATTCCATCATATTTATCAGATAAGTAATCGAGATTAAATATACTCCTCACTTCAGCAAACGATTGATTCCGAATCTCCAACGAGTTTATCTGCAACCGTATTTTATTACGAAACATTCGCAATTCTTACTCGTAGAGTGTCCACACTCCAAAATCCAGAGTAATCACCATCCAGATAACTGACATGAAAATTTCAACCATCTGCTACATAAGTCGACGATTTCGAGCTATCGTAAAATGAAAACATCCAACAAAATATATCAAGAAACCAACACTTCCTTGAAGCGAACCATGTGTCAGTGGATCCTGTATCGAACAATAATCGTAGCTTTTGAGGTGGAGATCACACTGATACATTATCGTAATGTTGATACACATTAGAAGCTGTTCCCATCATACAATGATTCACAGATTAAAAGTGTGTTTCCTTAGTAATTCGAACCATTTTCTTGGTGATAGTGACGCACATTAACCAAGTATCGAATGACCACTAGTAATCAGGTTTGTTTATAGTCAATCTTCTGGTTAATTTGATACATCTTTGTCAATAAAACATGATGAAAACAAAATAAAAATGACATCAACATCACTACAATTCAGCGTACTCAAACCGATTTCAATGATTCTATTCATAATTGTCGGTTTCCTACCATATTTGTATGGTGAGATTGTGAGAATTCCTCTCCACCCTGTGAAAAGATCTGATTCATTACTGGGACTTGGTGCAACTTACTTTAAGCCTTTGACGAGAAAATGGAAGTATGAATGGAATAAGCAGAATACATCTACATCGGAACAATTGATTAATTATGAAAACGTAAGTGTATCAATCATGTTCATAGTATGAAATCCAACTTAATGTATATCTAATAAGCAACACGAAATATGACGACTTTCCTTCTTGTGAATTAGATTTGGTCTGATATTTTGTGTGTGAAATAAAATAAGTGGACTATTCTCCAAAAGTAACCACGATGACACAGCGACGTAGAAGTGTAAGTTATGGCGGTAACTGTTGAAGTATGCCTGTGAAAATCGATACAACGCAATATTGCTCATTGATATAATTCTCAACAGGCAAAGTATCATAGATTCATGGAAAAATCCGGCAATTTAATCACCGATACAAATAACAAAATATCATGATCAGAAGTGCATATTATCTGAATGTTATTTCAAATGAAAAGAATTTTTAAAGTATAGAAAAATATTTATTATTTGCATATCACACTGTCTAAATTTTGAATGCGAAATAATCTTTTAATTTAGCTTCAGTATTATGGTGAGATATCAGTGGGAACTCCACCTCAAAAGCTACGAGTATTGTTCGATACAGGATCCACTGACACATGGTTCGCTTCAAGGAGGTGTTGGTTTCTTGATATATTTTGTTGGATGTTTTCATTTTACGATAGTTCAAAATCGTCGACTTATGTAGCAGATGGTTCCAGTTTTCATGTCAGTTATCTGGATGGTGATTACTCTGGATTTTGGAGTGTGGACACTATACGAGTAAGAATTGCGAATGTTTTGTAATAAAATACGGTTGCAGATAAACTCGTTGGAGATTCGGAATCAATCGTTTGCTGAAGTGAGGAGTATATTTAATCTCGATTACTTATTTGATAAATGTGATGGAATAATTGGCATGTCGCCTAGCAGGATATCGGACGATGGAAGCATTCCAATGTTCCCGAATATACTAGCTAATGGTGTGAATATGAACCCAATATTTTCATTTTATTTAAATCGGTGAGTTTATTATACAAATTGTGTGATATATTTTATACATGTTTGTATGTGATTCATTTTCTTATTCATTAAATGTGTTGTACACACTTGCCTATATGATATACATATGCTTTGCGATTTTTATCTAAATCAATATTTAAGTATATATATCAGATTCTGGGATGTATTCGAAGTTAACTCTTGCACAACAGTTAATATTTTTAAGCTGATCTATTTGAATTTCATGAGACGTGTATGTATGAATTGATAGCTCGATATTGTTGATCACACTTAGTGTACTTTTTAAAACGGATCTTATGAGAATTTTGTTCGGAGAAATAGAGATATAACACTAACAAATTATTCATACATTGATCATGTCTTAAGTAATTCATGTCAATGGCCGCTAGAACTTGAAATGAAACAGAAGTTTATTGTTTAGTAATTGATCATTATGTGTCTCAGACCTCAAATACATGTGAAATATTCTATAAGTATCCGACGACTGTGTTGATGAATACATGCTTCCTTTCAAAACAGTATTCAGAGAACTTAATATAAATTCACTTTATATGTTTACCTCATACGTATATGTACGTTCATAAATAGAATTAGAGAATTAAGAAAAGTAGTGACGTATTTATCGATCTTATACATCTCAAACGACTCAGATACCAAACAGCTCTTATTTTAGTACTGTTCAATTTTTCTGTTAGTTTTTCATAAATTGTCATTAGCCTAAAATGTAGATGTCCACAACATAAAAAGGCATGGTAAAGAGAAATAATATAGAATTGTTAAGTGATTCACTGAAATTCAGTTATAAAGAAGATCATCTTCTGAAATAGTAGAAACTTAATTGTGTAAATAAAGTTAAAACGGTTAAGAATGTCACTAGTTCTCGGAAACTTGTGAAATGTAAGCCACACGAACATAACAGCTTTTCAGCAAGTTATATAATTGATTCAATTTGTGCATAACTAGATTCCCAGTGTTTGATAATAAATCACAGTGAACTGCAGTTTTTAATGTTCTATGTATTTCCTTTACTTCTGATTTTTTAGTTTCCACCACTTATACCAGGTTAAGCAATGAAAGTATGTCAAACATTTGTTTTGTAAAGAAACATTGTTTCGTAAACCTAGAGATGTTTGTAATTGACGCAATGCACAGCATTAATATTTACTTAAATCACTTAATCCGTTTTTATAGTATAACGAAAACACGAAGTTGATCTGAGAAAATGTAATGTATTTCCACAAAAGCATTTCAGACTTGTCAAGGCATTTTATTCGAAAATTGACAATGGTCAATTAAATGAAAGTTCAAATAAACTAAGTGATAATTGTAAATAAAAGAGAGAGAAAAGTAAGAGGCAACGAATAGGAAATCTAATAGTTGAATTCATAAGTCGATTACAGCTAGACAACCATGGAAAACCTGGAAGCACTGAACCGCCGCTTCGTCCTAGTATGGGACTACTCAATAGTGCACATCCATGACCCAGGTTGTGGGATTAGAACGCAGGACCTATCGGCCTCACGCGTGAACGTTTAACCTCTAGACCACTGCGTCAATTACTCTTGCCTAAGTGTATGTATTCATAAAAACGTGTAAATTGGTAAATCCAATGGGATCCGGCGTAATTTTTCATGCAATGTCTAGATCTATTTCAAATCATTTGCTTGGTCCGTTTAATCAAAACCAGTTTAGCTGCGTAAAATGTATTTTCAATAACTGCATTAAGTCTCTGTCTCCGGATAACACTGTTAGATTCTCCTGTAAAAGGAAAAAAAGAGATATAAAATCACTTTCTTCGCAGCAAAATTAAAGGGAAGCTTCGTTGTTGAATGACTTTTGCATTTATTTGTAAACTTGAATGCATAATCGTTTGATATAAGTATATCTGTCTGCAGTTTTGCATCTTCTTCAAACAAATCTGTAGTACAGATTCTTGATTTTTATTAAGGAGGCACTTACCAAACTCCGCTTGGGTTGAGAAGGCCAGAAACTGTGAAAATAAAGCTACCACTTTATAGTTCAATCCTCCCTTCGACTCAGGGGTATATCTAAAAGGAGCAATTAATTATTACTTTCTTCCTCATAGATCATTACAATATTAATCTGTACGCCATTGAGTTTATCTTCATCACATACGAAAAATACATCATTCATGTATCACCTATACGGAGATATCTCGCTGATGAGCTCACTTATGATATTTTCAACATATAACATAAATACATCAGCTAAGAGATGTCCCGATGGGCTACACATAACAACACCGTCAACTTGTCGGAAATGTTCACCTTCAATTGTTGATTGGACTTTCGGAGGAAATAATAAAACTAGTTGTTTCAGTTGTTGATCAAATAGGGAAAAGGGGGAAATTACTCCATACATGGTCACAAAAAAAACGCCTCGACAAGTTTATATTTTTATCAATATTAGATTGTGTAGATAGTTAAGATTTTGGTTGAGATCCTGAATCGACTAATGTTAGACAACGTTTGAAAACCTGGAAGCACTGGACGTCCGTTTCGTCCTAGTATGAAACTCCTCAGCAGTGCTCATCCACGACCCTGCTCGCCAGATTTGGACCCAGGATCTTCTGTCTAGCGTGCGACCGCTTGCAACGATCCTATTGTCTGTCATCCATCGTCCCATGAATAGCTGCGCCATAATTCATCCATTGTCTGAAGTAGATACCTGTCTCCACTCGACACAAATTGAATGGAAGTTAAACATTAACGCCGTCCGATACCGATTTAGTGGTCTGGAGGTCAGGAGTTCGCAAGCTAGACTGGAGCTGTGCGTTTGGAACCCGTGAGTGGGATCGTGGATGCACACTGCTGAGGAGACCGATATTAGGACGAAACGACTGTCCAGTGCTTCCAATTTTTCAATGATGGTCTAACATTATTCGACTCATGATCTCAATCAAAAAACAAGTTTATATTTCACCAGATTGTTTGAAGACTTTGGCGGAAATACATCACATTTTTTCAGGTCAACTTAATTTTGTCATCGTGTAAATGTATTTGACATCGCAAACGATGTAGATTTTATTTTATATAAAGCGTATACATTAAAGAACTCCGCCTGGAGTCCCTCCGGAGGCTACTGCCGGTCCCATGCCCGGATAAAGGAGGAGGGTTGGGCATGGGGTTAGCGTCCCCATCCCGTAGAAAAATAACTTGCTAAAAAACGCCAACCAGAAAGATCAATTCTACAATAGGCTGCGGTCAATCGTCGAGAAGTGCCCAACAAAGGACCTGACCATTCTGATGGTAGACTTCAATGCCAAGGTTGGAACGGACAACACTGGATATGAAGACATCATGGGACGACACGGACTAGGAGAAAGGAACGAAAATTGTGAGAGATTTGCAGACCTACGTGCCTTCAATAAACTGGTCATAGGCGGCACCATATTCCCACATAAGCGCATTCACAAAACCACATGGACTTCAACGGACCACACTACACAAAACCAAATCGATCATATCTGCATCAACAAAACGTTCAGGAGGACGATGGAAGACATGAGAGCCAAGAGAGGAGCTGATATAACATCAGATCATCACTTGCTGGTCGCCAAGATGAAATCGAAACTCAAGAAGCATTGGACAATGGAGCGGACAATATCACAAAAGTTCAATAAGGCCTTTCTTCAGGATACTGACAAACTCAGCAAATTCAAGATAGTCCTCAGCAATGAGTTCAAAGTCTTTCATGATCTACTCAATGGAGAAGGAACTACTGTGGAGAGCAACTGGAAGGAGATCAAAGAGGCAAACACTTCAACATGTCATGAGGTCCTGGGTCACAAGAAGCACCATCACAAGGAATGGATCACTGTTGATACACTGGATAAGATTCAAGAAAGAAGGAACAAGAAGGCAGCAATCAATACAAGCCGAACAAGAGCAGAGAAAGTCAAGGCACAAGCTGAATACACAGTAGTAAACAAAAAAATGAAGAAGAGCATCAGAACCGACAAACGTAAATATGTGGAAGATTTAGCAACGACGGCGGAAAAGGCTGCAAGAGAAGGAAACATGAGACAACTGTATGACATAACAAAGAAACTCTCTGGAAATCGCCGCAAACCAGAACGACCAGTGAAAAGCAAGAAAGGCAAGGTAATCACCAACATTGAAGAGCAACAAAACAGGTGGGTAGAACACTTCAAAGAACTCTTGAATCGACCAGCTCCACTGAACCCACCCAACATCGAAGCAGCACCCACGGACCTCCCAATCAATGTTGGCCCACCAACAATTGAAGAAATCAGCATGGCCATCAGACAAATCAAGAGTTGCAAAGCAGCAGGACCGGACAACATCCCAGCAGATGCACTAAAAGCAGACGTAGCGGCAACTGCCAGGATACCCCACATTCTCTTCAATAAGGTTTGGGATGAGGAACAAGTACCAAAATACTGGAAAGGACACCTGATCAAAATACCGAAGAAAGGCGATCTCAGCAAGTGTGATAACTACAGGGGCATCACTCTTCTCTCAATACCGGGAAAAGTCTTCAACAGGGTATTGTTAAACAGGATGAAGGACTGAGTATATGCCGAACTTCGAGACCAACAGGCAGGATTCCGTAAGGATAGACCGTGTACAGACCAACTCCACGGATCATTGTGGAATAATCAATTGAATGAAATTCATCACTCTACATCAACTTCATTGACTACGAAAAGGCATTTGACAGTGTGGACAGGACAATACTATGGAAGCTTCTTCGACACTACGGCGTGCTTCAGAAGATAGTCAACATCATACAGAACTCATATGATGGATTACACTGCAAAATTGTGCATGGAGGACAGTTGACAAAGTCGTTCGAAGTGAAGACCGGTGTTAGGCAAGGTTGCTTACTCTCACCCTTTCTCTTTCTCCTGGTGATCGACTGGATCATGAAAATGTAAACGTTTAAAGGAATGCGCGGGATACAATGGACATCTAGGATATAGTTGGACGATCTGGACTTCGCAGATGATCTGGCCCTTCTATCCCAAACGCAACAACAAATGCAGGAGAAGACGAACAGTGTGGAAGCAGCCTCAGCAGCAGTCGGCCTCAATATACACAAAGGGAAAAGCAGGATTCTCCGATACAACTCAGAATGCACCAATCCAATCACGATTGACGGAGACGATTTGGAAGATGTAAAAACTTTTACGTATTTGGGCAGCATCATTGATGAACATGGTGGATCTGATGCAGATGTGAATGCGCGTATCGGCAAAGCAAGAGCAGCATATTTACAACTGAAGAACATCTGGAACTCAAAGCAACTGTCAACCAACACCAAGGTCAGGATTTTCAATACAAATGTCAAGACAGTTCTACTGTATGGGGCAGAAACCTGGAGAACTACGAAAGCCATCATCCAGAAGATACAAGTGTTTATTAACAGTTGTCTACGCAAAATACTTCAGATCCATTGGTCGGACACTATTAGCAACAACGTACTGTGGGAGAGAACAAACCAGATCCCAGCGGAGGAGGGAATCAGGATGAATCGCGGAAGTGGATAGGACACACATTGAGGAAAGCTACCAACTGCGTCACAAGACAAGCCCTCACATGGAATCCTGAGGGAAAAAGGAAAAGAGGAAAACCAAAGAACACATTACGTTGGGAAGTGGAAATAGACATGAAAAAGATGAACAAGAATTGGATGGAATTAGAAAAGAAGGGCCAGGACAGAGTGGGTTGGAGAATGCTGGACAGCGGCCTATGCTCCGTTGGGAGTAACAGGCGTAAGTAAGTAAGTAAGTATACATTAATGACGGTGAACTACTAAACCATTTGTCACATAGACATTTACACAACGACATGATCATATACTGTGGTTGGTTCTTACATCAGGTAAGATTGCGTCCAAACAACTAACTAGAGTTTATTCTATTCATCTTGTCTTTCAATGTATTACATTAGAAAACCTATCAATAATTAGACACAGATTCCTTATTTGTTGATAGGGAAAACGGTGCAGGAATCGGTGGTGAATTGGTACTTGGTGGTGTAAATCCTAAATATTTCAAGGGTGATTTTGAATATGTACCTACTATTCAAAATTATATGTGGACGATTCAAATGTTAAGGTAGTCGATTTTCACGTAATTTTAATTTGATGATCATGATATTTTCTTAACATCAATAGGAATTGAGGGAACACAGATTGGCACTTTACTCAGTTACTTGCGTCCGTTACCCTTCGTGGGTCATGGACTGCCGATCAGAATTCTCCAAGCAACTCTTTATTTAGCTGTCCTTTTTAGTTATTTCCACCTGTCATTCATTCTTTAGATGTCTGCATCCAATTTTGTATGCAATGTGTTGTTTGGTCTACTTCAAGCAGAAGTGTTTAAGTTGATCCCAGTCTGATCATCACTAACCAATTTGTCAGATTGGGATTGGAAAAATATCCAATAAGTGCATCAGTCATAAGGGGTAGTACTTTCAAGAGGACTACGTTTTATCAACGTACGTTTTTTCAAACATACCACTTAAGTGTTCATCGGAAGCACTCATTCCCATTTCGAAATACTTAAGAATGTCGATCAGTTACTAATTTCAATAGAATTCATACGAAGAAAATCTCTCTTGATAACATTAACAAATAATGTAATGTGTAAAAATATGCAGGTTTGTTCAAACTGCCATTAAGTTCAAACTGTGACCATAATATTCTTGTTCACTACACTATAATCCTGAAGGTACTGTAATTTGAATATAATTATTAAGTATCGGTTACAGATAGATGAGTGTGAAATGGAATTCAAATGACTTTTGCATTGAATGAGTGTAATGGAACGTAATGCATAAACTAGGCTCAACAAGTATTTCACTATTTCGGGGATGGGAAATAAACACTGATTGAAATAATTAAGTCACTTGGATTGCATTATGTGTTTGAAATATGAATCTCAGTTAGTGTGTTTGTAGCAACAGTGAGACGCATCTAAATAATAGTTTCCGGTCAGAATGAAGTGAATGTCCAGTGTTAGTTACTGTTCCAATTTAAATTTTAGTAAACTAGTCTAATTTGTTTAACAAAATGTTCTATTGAGAGAGACCCCACACTGATTGTGAATTAACTCACAGATTGAAAAAACAGTTTTTATATATATTTGTAATAAAATGTTTTATATATACATTTAGTTTGCAAATAAATGGGATAAACTTTTGCAACATATGTTCCGCTCTTATTGATACTGGAACATCTTTAATTATTGGACCAAATGAACAAGTGGAAAGAATCAATTCTTTACTTCATGCTTTTGACAATTTTGGAAGAAACGTCATTGACTGTGATCGCATTGATATGCTTCCTTCGATTGAGTTCATATTTCATAGGAAAAAGTACATTCTGAAGCCACAACACTATGTAGTCAAGGTACATACAAGTAATTCATTTAGTCTTAAACAATGGTATTCACTGTACCAGTTATGAGATAAATATGTCTGAATTGTTTGTTAAAATTATGAAGTTCCAGTCAGTGTGAAGTTGTATTAGGTAAGATTGTTTTCAAAAGGTACATCTCAATGAACAGGTCAGTTTAATTCATATGAAACCTTTATATGAAATTACTGGTGTATTTCCCCACCGAAATTATGCAATCTACACTAAACTGCAGAGTTAGTGATTGGCATATTTATACCTCAGTCCACGTCCGTTTGTGAGCTGGCTAACTTAGATGGACGAATAACACTATCATAATATTTCATTTTTGGGACACATGTAGAGGTAATTTCTTAAATATACAGCTATATGGAAATTTAAGAAACTGTTAATACAAATTTAATAGTAGTTTAGACACAAAGAACACAAGTGGGGATAATCCAATGTTTTAGAACATAAAATTACAGAACATGTTAGTAAAATCTGAGAACCATACAGTAAATACTTCATTTGCAAAATATCAGTCAATCGTCTCAGACTTTATTGTTCCTTCGTTTCCACACCGATCATTCTCTGTTCTCATTCTGCTTTCTCCAATCTACTTAACCTTCTGCTGCCAGGTTTTTCACTTTTGATTGATGATACATACTACTTATATCGATCTACATCAGTAGCACACACCACAATAGTACATAAAGCATTAGTGGATTAGGCTCATCATCGTTTACTGTGAATAGAAAACTAAAACATAAAATTCTTTGTACATTATATAAAATATTCGTATTAAGAAAATTAGGAAGTAAAGAATAAGCTAAATAGACCACATCATTTTTAATTTTTAGTAAGCTGAGATGGAGGAAGATTTTGTTACAAATAACTGTTTTAAATAAAGTATATATGATAAAAAACGATCCACTGTGTGCATTACTAGCTTAATACAATCATTTAAAACATTAAAGCTTATCAAATTCTAAGTTTAAACTGATGTCAACATAATCCATGTGAAGTAATGTGAAGAGAGGCGATCTCAGAGAAAACATGAATCATTAGTTTCTTATTGAGTGATGTATATATAACAATTTGTAATCAACAAATAACCAGATAAAGGAAATGATTGCTAATCTTTGAGTAATCTTTCATACGGTCACTATTCAGACTAACAAGATGGAAACAATTCGCTTCCATACTAATGTATTTTTTGTTCAATTACAGGAGACCGAATTCTTTGAAACAATTTGTTTGTCACCTTTTGATTCTCGTTTTTCGTTATCTCCTAACTATTGGATTCTTGGTGATGTTTTTATGGGAAAATTCTATACTGTATTCGATTTCGGTCAGAGAAGAATTGGACTGGCTGATGCTGTAGGAACATAGAGATGAGCTCATTGACGAAAATAAATGGTTGTATGCAATAAAAAGAGAAATAAATAAACAAATCGTTTGTGTCAATATACACGCATTGTGAAGTTGGTGTAAGAAGAAAAGGTGTATATCTATATATGTATATATGTTTAGTGTTAAATTTTTTCGTAAGACGCTACTTATGAATTGTCTTGATAGAACATTTTTGTTACAAGGATTATAATAATTTGAGGTAGCAGTTGGGAACCATTAATTTTCGATAGGAGCATTGCGATATCCTACTGAAGTATAAATAGTGTATCGTGGGGCGGTTCTAGTGACATTACAGATTATTCCTTATCAATTTCAACTAGAAAAGTAAAAAAGAAATAATGAACGCAGAACAACAATAAAAAGAATTAGTGTGATAGACCTGTCGTTGCGCACGTGTTGTTGTTGTTGTTGTTTTATGACCTACTGGTTTAAATGGATATTATTCAGATTAATCAAGTCGACTGTGGACAATGTAACTGTAGAATATCTATAAGGAGAGAGGTTTAGTAAACATGTAGAGTAAATATAGCGACTAAGCACTGTATGTTCTTAAAATTTCATCGGTGGAACATAATGGAGTTGCAAGTTTGATTATTTTTGAAGGGAGGATCGAGCTACAGGTAATAATAAATCAGAAAATAGTGGTATCGATTTTACTTCATTCACAGATTAACAAATTATTCAAAAGTTTCGAAAACTTACAAGTAATTCATAAGAAGTAGGAGTAAGGATGAGACGGTTTTATTTTTGATAAAGTTATGTATGATAAAATTAAGGAGATCTACTTACTTGATAGCACCAATGTATACAAACGATGGTTTATTTAGTATTGTGAAGACGAAAATAAGGTTTATTTAGACTGTGCACTTTCATAAAGAGTTGGGTTCAAGTATACTGGATGTGAATTCGTAGTTTACGGTAGAACCATCCCTAGGTATGCGTAGTGTTAATCACAGCAGAATTTATTTCAATCCATGTTTATGATTAATGTTAACGCTATTCAGAATAAAAGTGCATCATTCTAGGCGTAATCGGGTACATAATTCGTGGATTTGAACGTGATTCATATTTATAGAAGTTACGTTGTATGAAATACAATATGAGACTCAGGTTGATATTTTAGTCACGATTTTAGTTTGAAAGACAGAAGTATTTAAACGGTCTTCGTTCGTGTCTAGTTTAAATGCTGGATATGTTTAGGTGAATTCGTGACTTCCCGACATTTGGCTTAGTGCCCATTCTTTCGGCAAACGATTTCCAAAGTAAAGAAACAGGTTTAATTAAACTAATGAAATGAATGTCACTCCACCTCACTACACATAAATTAATGGTTAATTGAAGACTTCATTTTCTAACGAATTTCTCAGTGAGATATTTTGAATCTCTTTTCTCACATGAAGTAAATGTTCATTTATTCACATTAACAAATTCGCAGCAGATTTTTCAATTGAAGGTGGTTATGAATAATAGATATTTTTCACCTGGACATCTTTTGTGTTTCATATATATATACGGTTGTGGATGTATATGTCAATTAGCTTTGATTCAGTTGGTAATAACTATAAACATATTTGTAAGCATGTCATAAGTATGTTGTAGGTTGTATAGTAAAACGACAAGTGTCGTAAAAGCACAAGTGAATAATAATATCCATAATTTGAGACGGGGATAAAACGACTAGGTGAAAACGAATTTTCTGTCTTAATTGTGACTCCACTTTGAAATAATTTCATCACTTTATGTAAATTGTTGCAGTTCCTAATGACACATTAAAGCATATGCTTCCATTCTTTTATAGAATGTGGAGTTGTTAGTGGAAGTGTAAAATGATAACTGAACTGCATGCAACACGTTGATTAGTGGTTTAGATTACTGATGTAATATGTTTCTTTCGCAAACATATTTTACAAATAGAAGATCACATACAAATAAAAAATTGCATGAACTACATCATATTCATACAGAATTCATACACATCATGCACAGCAACATAATAAAAAATATTAAAATAATAGCAATGGCATGTATTTAACATTCAAAAGTTTGATTTAAACAAAGCATCTTGCTGACTGTTTACAACTTGTAACATTTGGATTATCAGATCTACTGTAACAATGCAATTGGTATGCTGAAGATATAAAAAATCGAACTACAAACAGAATTTTCGCCATCAACTGAACTGATGTCGTTTCCCATCTGAATAATAATAAACTTAATAATGCTTTAGGTACACTTTGTCTAGTGGAAATGTCAGTCTTAATGATAAGTCGTGTAGGTTGAGCGCTATATACGATTCCTAAGCTATTCCCGAAACCCGCAGACTAGAACTACACAGCGACTTGAACTCCAGAGAGAATACACAAGTATGAGTGAAAACACTTTATCCCAAGGTTCATTTTTGTACAGAAAATCAAGGGTATTTATAGATGTTAGCGTCTGTTAAATCAACATCATATTTCAGCCAATCCGTTAACAACATATTATGCTACCAACCAATGGAAGCACGCCAAGCTGGAATTCTCGAACGTTCCATCATAATCTGACTCGCTAGGACTCTTCGGCTCCTTTTTGGGCAATGTAAACATTAGTCAAAGAGAAACTTCAAATTGTTTATCAACATCACGAAATTATACACCGAATTCAAAATAATATTGTATTGAACAACAACACATGTGAGGATAATCGAATGTTTTAAAATATAAAATTACAGAATATGTTAATAAAATCTGAAAACCATACAGTAAATACTTCATTTGCAAAATATCAGTCAATCATCTTAGACTTCAATGAACTTTCGTTTCCACACCAATCATTCTCTGTTCTCGTTCCTTGTTAGAAATAACCCGTAAATTACCATGCCAAAGAGTTAATTTGAACTTCTCATCATATATTTACTAATTAATTACAATCAACATATAATTTTTACTTACTTACTTACTTACATTTTACTTACGCCTGTTACTCCCAATGGAGCATAGACCGCTGTCCAGCATTCTCCAACCCACTCTGTCCTGGCCCTTCTTTTCTAATTCCATCCAATTCTTGTTCATCTTTTTCATGTCTATTTCCATTTCCCAACGTAATGTGTTCTTTGGTTTTCCTCTTTTCCTTTTTCCCTCAGGATTCCATGTGAGGGCTTGTCTTGTGACGCAGTTGGTAGCTTTCCTCAATGTGTGTCCTGGTTTGTTCTCTCCCACAGTACGTTGTTGCTAATAGTGTCCGACCAATGGATCTGAAGTATTTTGCGTAGACAACTGTTAATAAACACCTGTATCTTCTGGATGATGGCTTTCGTAGTTCTCCAGGTTTCTGCCCCATACAGTAGAACTGTCTTGACATTTGTATTGAAAATCCTGACCTTGGTGTTGGTTGACAGTTGCTTTGAGTTCCAGATGTTCTTCAGTTGTAAATATGCTGCTCTTGCTTTGCCGATCCGCGCCTTCACATCTGCATCAGATCCACCCTGTTCATCAATGATGCTGCCCAAATACGTAAAGGTTTTTACATCTTCCAAATCTTCTCCGTCAATTGTGATTGGATTGGTGCATTCTGTGTTGTATCGGAGAATCCTGCTTTTCCCTTTGTGTATATTGAGGCCGACTGCTGCTGAGGCTGCTTCCACACTGTTCGTCTTCTCCTGCATTTGTTGTTGCGTTTGGGATAGAAGGGCCAGATCATCTGCGAAGTCCAGATCGTCCAACTATATCCTAGATGTCCATTGTATCCCGCGCATTCCTTTAAACGTTTACATTTTCATGATCCAGTCGATCACCAGGAGAAAGAGAAAGGGTGAGAGTAAGCAACCTTGCCTAACACCGGTCTTCACTTCGAACGACTTTGTCAACTGTCCTCCATGCACAATTTTGCAGTGTAATCCATCATATGAGTTCTGTATGATATTGACTATCTTCTGAGGCACGCCGTAGTGTCGAAGAAGTTTCCATAGTGTTGTTCTGTCCACGCTATCAAATGCCTTTTCGTAGTCAATGAAGT